AGATCTGTTTTATTATTTAAATATTTTTTTTCTACTATTTCTACTTTTTACTATTCTATTTTAAGTAGTTTACAAAATAAATAAAATACAATATCTCTACTTTGGATCTGTTTTATTATTTAAATACTATCCTATTTTTTTTTACTATTTCTACTTTTTACTATTCTATTTTAATTAATTTACAAAATAAATAAAATATCTCTACTTTGGATCTGTTTTATTATTTAAATACTGTCCTATTTTTTTCTACTATTTCTACTTTTTACTATTCTATTTTAAGTAGTTTACAAAATGAATAAAATACAATATCTCTACTTTGGATCTGTTTTATTATTTAAATACTGTCCTATTTTTTTCTACTATTTCTACTTTTTACTATTCTATTTTAAGTAGTTTACAAAATGAATAAAATACAATATCTCTACTTTGGATCTGTTTTATTATTTAAATACTGTCCTATTTTTTTCTACTATTTCTACTTTTTACTATTCTATTTTAAGTAGTTTACAAAATAAACAAAATACAATTTCTCTACTTTGGATCTGTTTTATTATTTAAATACTATCCTATTTTTTTTCTACTATTTCTACTTTTTACTATTCTATTTTAAGTAATTTACAAAATAAATAAAATACAATGTCTCTACTTTGGATCTATCTTATTATCTAAATATTGTTCCATTTTTTTCAATCGTTTCCACGAAATACGAATTCGTATAAAAATACGACAGTTGATTTCGTTTCGCTGTGAGAAATAACCCGTCTCGCGAGTGGCACGCATCGAAGAAAATGTAAAAGCTGTTAAAATGTAGAACTGGCATCTTACTTATTAAAAACACTACGCGGTTGATGCAAAAGTGTGTCGTCGATTTCCATCTTCCGAGCGATGAAAGCACGCGAGTGCAAATCAACATCATCGAGAACGCGTACTATAATGTAAGGCTGACAGTGTGCACGTCGTTTAACTACGATGATTGCCGGTCATAATGGCTCGCTAATTGATAGGCAGCTCGCAGAAGGGGTTGGCAAGATTTCTAAAGAAAGCCTGCGGGACTGCGTGGTCGTGAGCTTCTCTTTCTCTTTCTCGTGCTCTCTACGAGTTGCAATACCGATTTCTTCGAGTCGTATACTCTCTTCTACTCATCTTCTTTCGCATATTGCACGCGAAATTCGTCGATTTCCTTTCCTCCTCGTGAAATACTTCGGCCCAGTTCTTCGACCAACTCGAAAGTAAAATTGTAAATGTGTGTTGCACAGAACGAAGCGTTTGTGAAATAAGCGTGCGATGCAAAGTGATCGAAGAATGACGAGTTCGTTTTAGATTCTCGATCTGGGGCATCGAGAAATTCTGTTCCTTTTTTTCCCCTAGTGAATTACTTTTGAACTTTTGAAAATGTTAGATATCTTAATGTAATATAATATAGTAAATTAATAATAATAATAATAATAATGCAATATAAGTAAAATATAAGTAAAATATAATCTATAAGGAATATTCAATCTGGTTTAGATCAATTTAGGCACGATTGGAGGAGGAAAGCGTATTATATAAAAATTGCATTTCTTTTTGATATTTTTATCTTTAATCAGTGTAAAACTTCAACGGTGTACCTTTCATTTTTAAAGAATTTTTTTCTGTCTCCATTCATTTTAATTAATTCAGATAAAAAAATTTCGAGCAAAATTTCTCAAACGAATTGCTTCTTGTATACCTACAATTCATCAAGTAGCTAAACAGTATTCTACAAGCGTTTAGTATAACAGTTCGATTGAAATTTCGATAGTTGAATATCGTTTGTGACGTTCATACATAGTACGTACGCGCGAATCGCCGCGCAGAATTAGAAATCGGCGTCGATCGATCGACGTTGCAAAACTGATTGCCATCGCATAACCATCACGTGTACTATGCATTGTTCGTTCTCAGACAATGATTTTGTATGAAACAGGAAACTTCACGGTTGATTTCTGTAAAAATTAATCCGTTTTTCTTCTTCTCTCTCTTTCTTTTTTTTTTACGCAAGTCACGAATACTTTTTGATAGAACAGTGAAGAAAAGTGTTATGAAGCGAACGAACGACGCACCTGTACGTTTGGCGCAGAGTTAAGAAATTTCACTTGTTTCGTCTCGTTCTAGCTTGACGATTATACAGGTTGTCGCTCGAGCACCGCAAAATCGTTTCTACATCCTGAGCAATTTCCTAAGTGGAAAGTGCTCGCTCGGGTCTGTTACGGTACCGTCTACCATCCACTTGCAATCGTGATTGCAGATTCTTTCCTCTCTCCATTTTCGGGAGTTACTTCGACTTTAGAATTGACTGCTTGTCAGTTCCTTTTTTCTTTATCAAAATTTTTGATTTTAACATCAAAAAATGTTCAATCAGTTTTGTTATTACATTTCGTATTTTTAATATAAATATATTTATATTAAAAATTAATATATTATATATTTATTATACTAAAATATAATTAAACATTAATATATTATATATTTATTTATTTAATATAAATATTATATTTATATAATATAAATATTTTAAATATTTTGTATTTTAGTTTCCTTTCTACAATGCCTACGATTAAGATTACAGATTATTTTCTTTCTTTCTGTTCAGAATCTATTTAACTTTTATTCTGTTGAAAAGTAACAGTTCATAAATTTTTAAACTAATTGCCAATTAAAGTGTATTTTAAAGTAGGCATCGTTACACTTTAACATTAATTTTCCCTTTTATAACGCAACGACAGTGTTTCGATTTAGCGTAAATGCAGCGTTAACAGTCCTTGAATAAATCTATATACATGTACTAGGAACGCGTGATAAGTAGAACATGTATTGTTGCGGCTTTTTTTCAACTTTCTTTAAGCTGATGATACCTTTTTTTCCTTTTTTTTAATTTCAAATTGAAACAAAATGGAAAGTTAAATGAAAGGAAATGTACGGACTGTAACCGTGCTTTTGTTTCTTCAAAAATTTCAAATTAATTCCATCGAATCATTTTCACGCGAATAGTTTCAGCACGAAACACGCACTTATGGAACGAGACAAGACACCGACCAGTATGCAACAAAATATCAATGCGGTTTCTTGTTCTTATACTTGTTCTTATACTCGAACGTACGACAAAAAAAAAAAAAAAGCAGCGCACTTCTTTCTGGAATGGTAGAACTTTCTCGTATACCCGAGTACACGATCAAACGTATACCTCTCGATTGCGAATCGGTACATAGTGGGATGATCGAAGTTTATTTCAGCGAGCCTAGAATTGCGAAAACCAGAAGCTGGTCGGTAGCCAAGCTATTCCAGCTACCTTTCATTACGTTCACCGATATTCTAGAAAGTTGTCACTTGAACGAGTGAAGCGAGAGGGCCCTTCTTTTGCCTTTTAACCAACCAACAGAAAAACTGTGAAAACGTCCAAGCTCGTCAGAGCCTGATGTAACTTAACGTCGTTTCTTGCACGATAATGGCTTCCTGCTGGCCGATCGCAAATTAGGCTCTCGAAAGTATGCGCTGACCGGCAACTTCCTTCCTATCGCCGTTGGCCAAATACGCGTTTCACATTGTTTCCTGATTCACAACTGTGATCTACATAGTTACTCAATGGTCGTTACTAACTTAACGTGAAACAATTTTCGACGTATCTCAATTTAGTAATTTAATAGTAATTTGACATCAGTTTTCTAATAATTTTAAATCCTGCAGTTTAAGAATGAACTGATGATCAAATAGTCCATTGGAAATGTGTTAGGAAGATTGTTTAATTGTATATTTTTGGCCATTTCTGAGCCATTCTATTTTAAGCTGGGCCCGAAGAAGGTAACAACCATGCAACTATTCATTTTGATATCACCAAGTTAAAATCATTGTATTTACCGAAATAAGAACAAAAGTAAACCACAAAAATCCGAGGATCGTCGCGTTGCTAACGGAACGTGTAACAAAACTTTATTCAGAATTTACGAAACCGCGGTCGGAACTAGAGCGTATCACGATACGTTTATTGCTCCGATACCGCCGTCGTTATTATTATCACCGATTATGTTTTAATTAAAAACACCAACCAATGATCACAGTGAAATAATTGGATCGCATCCTCTCGTTTAAACGTCTCTCCTTGATGAGAGAAATTGAAGGAGGGCCCAACCAGCCGACTATAGAACGAAGTCGAGCCGTTCCTTAAGGCTTCGAAAGTTGAATAAATATCGCCATAGTAATCATCCGTTGACGCAACTCGTTTTCTTCCTGATCGCGACATCGGGTCGCGAGTGAAAGTGAACTCTCCTCGTGTTATCGCACTATAACCTCGGCGAGAACGATGGAAATCGAACACGAACGAGGATGAAACGTGAGATTTAACCGAGTATAATCTTCCAACATATAAATCGTCCTAGACGGAAGAAGCTATTTGTGGTCGGTCCTTACGGTTCATTTTTTTTTTTTTTTTAAATCTTATCTAGCCTAACTATAGGCTAGTACCTACATACTTTATTACATAGTCATTCAAAACGGGATTCTGATTGTTTGCTAAGAGTATAAAACGCGAGATTCAAGCTATTTTGAGCTTTTTAAAAGTTTAATACAGAATTTCTTGCCAAGAGAAATGGAAATGGATGCGCGCATAACGATACTTATAAAGGATAAAATTCGAGTGATGATAGATAACAGATGTTTACGTATTTATGAGAAATTTAAGTCTTTGTTCGTAAATATACGAATTTATATAAATATCAGCAGTTTAATGACAAATCGTAAAAATTGTATATAGGTTTTATTTTGATGAAACGTAGATAATCGAATGGTGGATCGTACTTTAATGATGAAATGTAAAATTTATGAGATACTGGCGAATTAAATGGCCGGCATTTTTATATGGAATTATTGATTAACGAGTTATTCGTTGTTAATGATTTTAAAGTTTGTTAAAGAAATTATTGTATAAGAAATTAAAGAAATTACGAAACGTAAGGTATACTAAGGAATATTTTATCATTGTGCAGGATACGAGCGAAACGAAGGAGGTTCAGCAATCTCTCGCTGAGCAAACACCAGTGAAGAAAGAAGCAGAGCCAGACACCAAGGACGTCAAAGTCCACAAGGAGGATGAGAACAATTCAAAGTCAGACAACGAAAGCGGTGACCATGACGATGATGACGATGACTACGATGACGACGATTTTCCTCCCGTGCACATCAAATTGCCCCTTCAACTCGATTTTGATGAAATTGCTGGCGTAAGTAGAATTTCTAAAAATTAATAAATCGAGAGAGAACGGAATTTCTATTGAAAGTCGACAAATCTATAAAATGGATATATATACGTATGTATATTTGATTACTCTTATTTTTTAGACTTTGATCCAAGAGGCACGCAGCAGAGTTTCGTGCGTTGTCGAAAGACGAAGGGCCGATCAAGTGATGGACGGTGCTAACAACAATAATATTGATAACAATACTGATTCTCGCTATCAAAGACTGAGCGGGGAACGTGTCGCCATTTTGTGCGAATCTGGCAATCCTCATCAAGAGTATGAATTTAAAGTTCAATTGAATATTCATTCAATTGACTTCCATATTAACATTCAAAATATGCTTGATTTTTAGGCAGCAAGATCAAGAGATGCTCACGCCAATTATTATTCCATTGGGAACCGTCCAAGTACCACTTCAGTCTCAGGAGCAGAACCCAGCCTACCATCAATATCAAGTGCACACTCAGTATCAAGTTCCTGACATGCAACAGTTACCACTTAGCGACCCACGCGGACTTAATCACATCCCACCTGGTATTCTTCCCCCTGAATTGCGAAATATCCCTCAGGTAACTATGGAGATGAGGCCTCCACGTATGGGACCACAGACGCCCATGATGGGACCACAAAATCCTGCGATGGGACCACAAGTCAGTGTATTTTATATTAATAACAACAGAAATATTAATTTTCTTTAAATTCTTGATATCAATCATTGCTTCTTAATGCAACTGTTTGTTCCATTCAATTACATTTATTCTATTCTTAATATATAAAAAGTCATTGCAACTGCAATGATTACATTTGAATTTACGACTAATTGAAATTCATTTAGGTTGAGCTGCGTCGAATTCCCATCGAATTGCGTCATTTCCCGGTGAATCCAATAAGAGGTATGCGACCACCAATGCCCCAGGAACCGCAACAAGTACCTCTGATGTATCAACAAGTCGAACAAACTGGAGCATATGGCCAAGAACCAGCTATGATGCCTCCTCCAGCGCCGCAGCCAGAAGCTCAGATTCATGAGCAAAGGATTATTCCTCATGTATTGATCCCGCAAACCGAACAACGTCCACCTCAGATGCCACCGCAAGTACAGCCTCAAATGCAGCCCCAGATGCAACCTCAGCCTCAAGCTCAGCCTCAGTCACAACCCCAACCGCAGCCTCAAGTGCAAGAAAGACAACGTTCGCCCTTCCAAGGAATTCCGTTCGAAATTCGAAGGATTATCCAACAAGTACCTCTAGAGATTAAGAATATCATTCAACATATCACCGGTGAAGCGAGACCTGTACCCGTACAAATACCAGATGGTGCTCGCCGCGAGGTAATTTATTTGAAACATTTCCACTAGATTTCTCTCTGTCAGACGCATATGATGAAAATTTAAAATTTTATTCATATTGTTTCTCAGAATGTCCAGGAGTTCAAACCGTTCCCGGAAGGAGCTCAACCCATTCCTTTAGGACTTCCACTTCCGATAGAGGTACGAAATCTATTGGAGCATGGAAATATCGAGGGCCGCCAGCGACCGGATGGTTCCAACGAACAACAGGAAGCGAGACCTTTTCCTGGACCGGAGGATGATAGCGAGGAAGAAAGAAACTTTCCTGTACCGGCGGAAATTCGTAACATAATTCACCAGGTAAAAAGATATTATAACAATATTTTATTAGCGTATATTTCGGTATCTAACCGACGCGTTCTGAAACCATCATCTTCCCAGTTTATTGATTTATAATGATAAGAATAAATGAGAACCGCTGCAACAGCAATTTTTCACCAAGTTTACATTAGGTAGCGTGGCCGAGCGGTCTAAGGCGCTGGTTTAAGGCACCAGTCTCTTCGGAGGCGTGGGTTCGAATCCCACCGCTGCCATTTTTTTTTTCATCGTCGTTATTTTCACTCGTATCAATTATCATTAATCGAATGTCCAATTTTGTAAGTATTTAATCAATTCACCAGTATTTATTTTCATTTTTAGGTCGTAGAAGGTAATGCGTTCCCAGTTCCAAGAATTTCTCTGCCACTGAGACCTGTAGAATCCTTGGAAATACCTGTTGAGGCCCGTGCTGAAGTTACTGATAATCAAAACTCTGAACAAGAATCAGAGCAAAGGCAGCAAGAGCAACAACAAACACCACACATGATGATGGACCAGCAACAACAACAAGTGCAACAGCAACAACAAGAACAAGAAGAAGAAAGTCGCCCACACTGTAAGTACATCATTAAACTTCTAATCTCTTCTTTCTTATTTTTAACTTTACTATATTTCATGGCCTTCCTCCTATTGCATTCTCGTTACTATTTATTTAAAAAAAAAAATTTAATTTCATTCTTCACATTACAGATACAATGACATACGTAATGTAGGTCACTGATTTCATTTAAATTAAACATTCCACTCGCATTGAGTAAAATTATACAAATTATTACAATTTGTTCATAGATGTGCAACCACGTTCGGTGCGTTCTATCCCAGAGGCATTTACTCATCGCCGTGAGAAGCGTGTACGTCGTTGTGCTTGCGATTGCGCCTGTTAATTCCAGTTACAGCGAATCGAATGTCCCATCATACCCGGTCAAAGAGAATGCCCTAAAAAAAAAGAAGAAGAAACGCAGCTCGGAACGTGTTTGACGAGTTCCCGTAAACCCGAAAGAAGATTTTTCAGGCGATTCACGTTTCCTTTCTCGAATTTCATATTTTTGTAAATCTTTACAATCTTACGAAAGCAAACTGGACTGTAAGAATAATCTTATTTTTATAGAAGACAGCATGGGACGAAAAGTCATAGAGATTAAAAAACACCGTTAAGTTTGTAGTATTACATTGCTATAAAGCAGCAAAGCTACGAACGTGCTTTTATTTAGGCTGTTCATAATACAATCGAAGAAAATAAAATGATAAAAAATAAAGAGAAACTCGAGGGTCAGAAGACATTGTAGAGAGTAGACATTTATATCGACACCTATTAGAGGGAGAAGATACACCTATTAGTGGGAGAAAAATCCATTGATTAAGAATAATAATATCCTTTTTCTCAACTAACACGTTTTCATCGAAGGAAATTATTAGAGTTTCTTCTTTCAGTGACAGTGACAATCGCATGCAGAGAGAAAATTAAAGATATGAATAAATCTGTGATCGTTTCTTTTATTTTCATTAAAAAGAGATTAAAAAAAAAAAGGACACAAGAAGAAACTAATAATATGTTTTTCAAATAATCGAAGATAAGTTTGCAATGTTTCGCAACAATTGCTATATGTGTATTATGTAGATGGCTTAAGAGAAGTTGCTATTCTTTATCCAGTATTGTAATTAACGTCGACACTTGCGGTTGGTAATTTTTAATCGGTTGTCTGCTTAAAAGAAACGAAAATAAAGTTTGAAGGTCCTTCCATAAAATCCATTTTTGCGATTTTGGCGTGTATGTTGTTACTTTTTTTTTATTCTGTACTTATAGCCTCGTTTCTTTTCCGAACATCATTTCTTGCATCTATCCTAAATTGTTTTTAAGGTATGGATATTTTTTTATTAATCTGTATTTTCTATGTTACATACACACACACATTTCTTTTTTCTTCTCATGACAATTAATAAAGTGACGAGATTATCGATTTAGACTCGATATCCTGCGAATATGTCATTTTATTCCTTTTTGAAGATAGCTTATTAGTTAACAATTTTAAGACATTTTAAGAAATACATATATACAAGAAAAATATTTTTGATAAGAAGCTTTTAACATAGATTAGTAGGATGTAGTGTTTCATTGTAATATTGCGTCTGAATTAATAATATTAATAGACACTTTTATATTATATTGGATATAAATGATCAATTTTAACAACAAAGTACACGTTGACATTTCTTTTGCAAGATTCTCATATGGCAGATTGTTTTAAAATTCTTTTAAAACAAAAAATTGTACAAAAAAAATTTTATAAATACAATTCGACGAATTAAAAATTGAAACCACGCTCACATTTGCATCCTTAATAAATCGTTAAATGAACAATTTATTATTGTTCAATGATATGTAATTAAATATATCAAGATATGAATTCTGAAAATATAAATTTTGAAAAAAAGAAAGACTTGTAATTGAAGAAGCAAATTTTATAGCTACGCTACTGAACATGACGTCATTCGACAAAAGCCATTCGAACTGAGCAGGCGTATAACCTATCAGCTCGCAACATTCGAGTGATTGTTCAGCATGTGATCTTGTCATTATTTCGTTGTGATTATTACTTCTGATGGTAACAACTAACAATTTTTAAATAAAGTTTGTATACCGTTCCACGTTTATTACGAAAGAAGCATTAAGGCGTGTCATTGAAGGTGAGCACATTTAGGAGAGTACATTGTGTCGACAATCGTCATGACGTAGCACATTTTTAGATTTCATAATTCTATTTAGAAACAAACTCTGTGATAGATTAATGAGTTTTAACAATAACAGAGCAAAGGACGAAGAATTCTGATATCGTCACTGTAATCGGAGTCATCTGCTCAAAATGATGAATTTTGAAGAAGAAAAAGGATCCACGAGATCCTCGTCATCACGAAATATTTGTTGCTGTCTCGCAACAGCTAGATATAACAATTCAAAGTAAATCTTCTAATTCGTGTTTAAATGATTCTTACATGATCATGATTTCTCATCCGACATTCAATGCCACGATAGAACATTTACAAATACAAATTAAATGTATTCATTTTTTAGTGTATACAGATATTGCGTAGACGTAGACGATCCGGTCTGAGTGTACTATCAACTGAAGTAAACAGAGGACATGGATGAATTAGAAAATCAAGATTGTCGCGAATTGATTCACTGTAGATACGACAATAATAATAATAACAATAATAATAATAGTAATAATAGTAATAACAACAGGTTAACGGAATATCTTAATTTGGATAATCGTGTAGATGATCCACTTCGTAAGCAATGACACAAAGGAAACTAAATAACATATATTTAATGCATGATAAAAAGTATACACTTATGTAAATTTATAGGAGAACCGGAAGTAACTATGAATTTAACTGAGGATTCTGCTCAATTACCACTTCAACCATTGGAAGAACCAGAAGAGGATTTATTTGACTATGAAATTGATACTTCATATCAAGATGTGAATACAGAATCCGAGGTAAATTGGTATTGTATTTAATTGTGTGTTTGTATAATATGTATAATATAATGTGTCTGTGCTATATTAACTTGAACATTCTATGTTCATTTATAGGAGCAAGTGGTACCATCCAGTCAACTAAGTAATAGTTATAAATATCCTGATGAGCTTACCATTTCTGATGATGAGGTAGATGAAGGCATATTTGAAGATGAACAAGCATCTCATTTAGTATTGCTAGATGACAATAACAGATATAACTCTCAACCTCCGTGAATATCTACTTGATTGGTAGTTGACATGTTTGTAGAGTAGCACTTTGTGCTAATTCGCTACCAATATTATTCAGTTTTCCATCCATCAGTCAAATTTGCAGAAAATATATAAAAAAAATGTGGTAGTAACATTAGAACTTGATTGCTGTTTTTATATAAGAAAAAAACATTCCGAGTGGCTTTTTAATTCATAGCCATTGTGATGTAAGTTTCTATTTTATTTACGTTTGTTTCATAGTTAATATAAATCTTCATTAACATGTTATTATACAAATGGAATTTTATAATGAAGGAGGAGATCCGTAATGTTTAATATCATTTTTTCAGTTAAGTATTGCATAAGTGTATTTTGGGGACAATTGTTTATTTGATTGTCATTACCAAAAAGATTAAGAATGAAATTATTTTTAACACAGATTGTACAAATAAATCTATTTTAATAAAATGTTGCAATATCACTAGATTTGTTCTTATTTAGTAATAGTAATAATAAAAAGTTTATTAATATTACACAATTTGAGTAATGTAATATTAATATTATGTTTTTTTCTAAAATACGCTTAAAAAATAATAGCAAAATGAACTTAACTGGAAATATATTTTGAATATAATGTTTAAAAATGTATATTATCATTATGAACATAATTATTGTATACAGTCTTAAATGGCATACTCTAATTACATATGTAATGAAAGAGTGAATATATAAATAAAACTAAACATGAGAAATCATCCATCATAATTTGATCAAGGGTGTATGTTTTCTCCTTTAAACTATATTTATTAATATTGTAATATTGTATATTTATCAATATACTGTAATTGTAACTTAGAAATTTTATTATTTTATATTTATAGCAGTTCAGTGATGTAGAAATTTAGTTATATCGAGTGGATTAATTCAATTCAGTGTTTTTGCCATTTAGGGCATAAAGTCACTGCAATATTTATGTCTTTCTAATTACATATGTACAACAATTACGTCAATTTATTCAGTTTCTATCTTGATGAAACATTTCTATATGAATTAAATATATCCTAATATTTATATTTGAATGATTAATCAAAATCTATTTTTATATAGAAATTAATATTTTACAATCTTTAAATTGATAATACATGCTTAATATTCATTCAGTACATTAACCATCTTTTGTTTAATTTTACAATAACATAGAAAAAATACAAGTAAATAGGTCAGATACTTTTATTCATTTATAGCAATAAAAGACAATTTCTATAAATTAGTGATTTCTTCAAATTACAGTAATTTATTGAATTATAGTAATTATTCGTGAAACGAATGCACAGTTTAATTGGATCAATAAATGTAAATAATAATATTGTTTGTCGTTAAATAACTGCAAATTATTAAGAAGTATTTTTTTTATTGTTAACAGTCTTGCTATCGAACTTGGAACAGAAATAATTCATAGGTTGTTCATATTTGGTATTATATTTCGTCAAAAGCTACTTTTTCTGTCATCCAACGCGCAAACGAGTGAAGTCACAATGTCAGACGCTAGAATTACTTTCAGACTTGTGTTTGAAAATGAAATCGAATCACGTCGAATCGAATTTCGAAGAGTTTTTTTCTTCACCATTAGTTTGAGTGCCTGGAAATAATTTATGGAACTGCAAGAAATATTATTTTACTGTAATTTTTTTTTATCTATAATATATTTATTATGTACTGTATTATTGTACACATAATATAAATACTTGTAATTTTTCTTATTATAGGTTGATTTTAAATAGAAGCTGTTATAAAATTTTTGTCAATGAGATGACGACGTAAGAAGGAATTGATTTGTGATTTTGTCTAAGGGTAACTATTTTGATATTCTAATATACTTTAAAGATATTTAAATCGCATAATGCGTGCGAACATGCGTGCGAACATGCGTGTAATATTTATGACATATTATTAATCATTACGTGTTGCAATGCAATCATAATTGGTGTGCGACTGTTCGTATCTGTGCCCTCATTGCCTTCGATTAATTATCGTAAAATTTACATTTTTCTTTCGCCGTAATTCTACACCATGGTACACGATCAAAGAATGCGGAAGTGATTGCGAAATTTCATGTTAATGCCATGCTGAAACATAAAGAGCCGTCTCTGCATTTTTCTACATTTAACATGAGTTTCGGCCATTATTAAGATCCTAGCGATTATAGAAAATTTTTAAAAAAATTTTTTAAAACATTTCTTAAAGTCTTTTAGTCAGATCAAAGTCGGATCAACGCTTGTCATTTCTTTTACAAGTATTTTAAAAAATATACCGTTTATACTAATAATAAAGTATTTAATGGTTAGCAATTAAAGTATTATTGAAATAAAACATCATTTGATTGAATATTAATAATAAAGTAATCATACGAATGATATTATTCGCGCAAATAATATTTTTACTCGACTGAATTAAGTCAACGATATAAATTGTAAATTACTGAGATAAGAATCGTGGATTTTAACAATCTTCGGAAATCTTCGAATCGGGAGCTTATAAATATTTGATTATAAAGTGATTCTGTGGAATTGTAAATATTGAAGTATTTTATATTACTATGAAATGACTTATATTAGTGTATTTTGAAATGAACATATTTTCAAAGTCATCGTGTAGTTGACAATTAATTGTAACGTTTAAAGAAGCAAAGGTTTAAAAGAGATCTAACAATATTCGCAAATGATACGTATATGAGATTTCGTAATGATATCGTTGGAAATAAATATAGAAAGTTTATTTCATCGGGTCGGTGTTCACCATGCATTATGATCTCGGAAATTCAACAACACGATGTCTGATGTAATTCAAACCAAAGCTCAGTTTTGCTTGTACAGAAATACCGAGCAACAGTTTTGCAAGCAGTTTCGTGTTACACGTAAGGACGACAACTTTTCATTTGTGATTTGAAAAAGAATTATACGACACACTATGAATCGTTCTAATTATTGCCACTCTGCAATAATTAGTCTTGTTATTCCGTGTAATTATCGTATAAAACAAGTAAGAAGGTTGTTGCTTTTCATGGACCTTTCTTTAATATCGTTCAATCATTAGCAGATTATTTATGAGAATATTAATTATTAAATGATTACATTATACGTAACAATAATTTTTAAATAATGAATTATTATTGTTATTTCATATATAGGAGTTTAGTACCTTTAGTTTTAATATACAGTGGGCCACGAAAGCATTCAGACTCGATGAAAATTTGTCAATGTTTTAAATTGTTACAATTTTATGAAAAAAAATCGTACAACAATTCACTTGGACTCATTTTAATACGTGAAGCTTCTTCTTTGACATTCGTTTTTTTTTCAAAAATATTTTATCATGCAGTAAATGGAGTATTTTTTTTTTCAAAAATTTACAAAGACCCGTTAAACAGTTTAAAATATCAATAAACTCTCATTAAGTGTCTGAATACTTTCATTATATGTATATATAATAATGTTTGTACGAAGTAAAAATTTTCATCTGGTCACAAAATTTTCTTCCAGAATCTTAACTGTAAATTCCAATCGAATCGATTTCATTTTGAATCGTAGATAATATACAAACCGAAGACTGTGTTTTTAAGAATCTATTGCTTGAAAATTACGCAAATTGAAACTCGCACGACGTAAAATAAATCTAATTTGTAAATTAATAAATTTTCGTAATTTTTAATTAAGAGATTCTTAAAAACCAAACTCAGAATCAAGTCGATTGAATATAATTTCTGAATATGCGTTGTTATCATTATTCCACTGATTTCATTCCAGATTTGTTTCAAACTCGTTTCAGCCGACCTGTTCCTAATCGCGTTTTCCATCTTATGCAAATTTCACATTGTGCCTCCCCAGAATGACATCGAATGTTTTTCATTCACGAAACAGCGGAAGAACTTTTACCTCGCCCACGCGAAAAGATGAAATCATGTGAACGTTGTTTATTCACCGAAGAACCACCTATTCAATGTTCATACATCGCGCATACGAATAGTGAAAAAAAAACATAAGCAAGAAAGATATATGTTCGGAATCGAACGTTTTCAAAAGAGCAATCTAAACAGAAACCAGTTTCAGTTGATGGTTCCAGATGAATCAAATTTTTAGAATCAAATTTTTTTAAACTAAACTCGTAAAATGGATGCTTTGTGAAATGTTTGGTAATCAGAGCGACCATGAGCTATACTTACAAACACAAAAGGTAATAAACGAAACGTTTTATTAAAATTTTTTTTCTTTTTTGTGTATACTTTGCAGCATTGTAACTGTGTGCTTGCGACGTCAAGGTACTAATTTTGAACGATTGAATTCTGAAATTTACTGTGATGTATAATTCATGGATATTATGAATTGTAGGATTTTAAAGAAAGTGGGATTTAATAGTTTATTTATTACTTTTGAGAGATACGTGCTTTCTGTAGAAGAATTTTCTACAAAATGTATATATTTTGTGAATACAATCAAAGAAACAAAATAGAAACAGATATTTTTTTTATGAAAAAGAATATTAAGAAAATTAGTATATTACAGTAAATTATTAGATAGTTAGTTCTTAATATAACAGACGAGAAACGAAACTGAATTTTAAGAAAGACTTTGATTTTGTATATAACTTAAAATTTTTCGTTCAAATAAAGTTAAAAATGCAACTCTTAATATTACTATACAATATTAATATAATATAATTTATAATTAAAATTATTATTTATTATAATTTATATAATTTTATTTGAATTTAAAACACTAATATGTTAAAATAATTTATAAATATTTATTAATATAATAATATAAATAATTTATAAATCATAGTTCTTTCGTACAAATAATTTAAATATTTTTATAGATAGAAACCAATCTGACTTACGTCGATTTGAACTCAAATCATGTAAGATTTTAAAAGTCGACCAGACTTAATTATTAAACTTCATATTTCGTGATTTAAATAACCAGTGAGCTAGTTACAATATAACCAATTTGATTCTTGAGAAATAACTCTTTAACTTATGTGAAAATATTAAATATCGCTTTCTCGTCACGTCGATGCATCAGTCACTAGAGCTCAAAGCATTTTCTGGCCGTGAATCAAGATCCACTTTCCATCTTCGATATCTGTCTTCGTGAGACATATTTGTCATATTTTCTTTTTCTATTTGTTCACGTGATCGCATTAAATCGACTTGAGCTCCGACGACACGTTTTATGAACATGCACACCTTCGGAAGAAGACGAAGGCCAACGAACCCGGCTTTTGGACCTTTCTCCCATGATAGTTATACATTTTCTCCGGTTAACGTTCGTTCGAGATTCGATGGCATCCTTTTCTGTTTTTTCCCTGCTCTGGTCGAGTTTGGTGGCCTACTTAATTCCATCGTTTTACTTCCGCCCAATTTCTTACAACGTTGTTCATACGCGTGAGCATACTTGTTTTACTTATGTAAAATTGATATACTTGTATGTACATCAGCAAGTTATTAGTCGATCATTTTATTTAAAAGCTAATGCTTATTTTACAGTAGACTATGAAAATCTATATGCATATAAATTTAAATTTAAATTAATTTTGTTTCCATATGATTAACATTATTTTATTAAATTCTACTATGTACGGTAGAATAATTTGGCAAACATCTTATCATAACAGTTGCTTATTCGTTTTTGTTAGATTTGCATATTAAAAAATTCTTTATCAAACATCTGCATTTTAGGAACTTTAATGGGATTAAATGATAGTTATCAATGTGAAAAATGTAGAAAAGTAGGAGAAATATTTATTGTATGCGAAATTAATGTTACGTTGATATCTCGTGAGTATTAAACGCTTAAATGATCAGAAAGATGATCGTGATGATCGATGGTTCTCAGCTAGAAACTAGAAAGTCCATCAGTACTTAGTTTTTTTCTCTCTTTTTTTGCTTTTATTTATTCATACATTGTATCTTTTCTTATTGCCCAAAAAAATCTGTTATTTATCGTGCTAGCTATATTTTACTGACCGTTGATTTTTTTTTTAAAGATACGTGTGATTCACAAACCAAATACTGGTGAATGTAATTCTTCCTTTCGAAAAATTTTTGCTAATTTAGTGAAACATTCGAAGAGGAATGATAATTTTTCATCAGTCAAAAAATTGATTATTAAATTATTAATCAATTTTCTTCTTTTATTATTACGCCGAAATACATCGTGAAATTTTGATTATTACTCAATTCATGTTTCACAATTTACAATTTTCGTTACTTTCAAGATATTTCACAATTTTCTGTACAAACCACAAAAAATATTAGTTGATCGTTATTAATTTGCTAAATTTACATAACTGTGTATGAAATCACATTCATTCTTCAACGTGTAGTCGTGAAACCAACCACAGCCATTAAGGCATATAAAAACCCATTTCGAAAAGCAGTCAAAAGGAACGAATATTTATTATTCAGTAATCAAAATCTTCAGAATCATTCATCAAATCGAATGACATTAACACAAATAATTTTGTTCAATTTAATTTTGAGGCGTAAATGGTACTTTCCGATTGCGTAACTCAGCTTAAAACGTGAAAATTACAAGTAAAGAATATGATAGATATATAAATCATATTTTCGTTTCTTTTTTAAAGAACAATCTTAGCTGCATATTTAACATAACACAACAATTAAAATAGAAGGACATTCTCTGTTTGATTCTTACATTAATTTTTTATTCGCCTGAACGTTTTAAAAATATTGATTATAACATTAGAAATATCCTATTACCAATTACTATAGACTATCTGTGTAAATTTCTATTTCTGTGAGCCCAGTACGAGGAATAATAATACAAATAATGTAGTGATTTTTGCACTTTGCAATTTTTCACCCACATCTTATTAATTGTATCATTACGAAACATTAATTATTATATTATTGTTAAACTATTTTCATACTTTTGTATTCGAATTTCATTTTATTTCAGTTTTCAATTATATTCTAGTAAATACGTTTCTTAAAATGCTAGAACGAATAGGAGTCTTTGTACATTTATGAGAAATTTGTGTATGAAATGTCCAAGGTATAAATTATGAAAAATTTGCATGAAAAATTCATCGTCTTATATCTGTCTTATATCGTTAAATTTCGCGATTCTCACGTTTGTTCGATGAATTACACTAGCGACTAACAATAAGATATTCTCGTTCGCTTTTGTACACATGTGTAATCTTGTGATGTACGTGTTCACAGAGATGTCAGACGGTAGTCCTTGCAGACGCATAATAACCCTACCGAGGTACCGTTGGCTAAACCGGAAGTAAAGAACACGGGTGTACGGTGTCAGTGCCACGAAATTGCTCGGGACCTTCTCTACGGAACGAGAACCGACTGGTATGTGAGAATGCGTTGCTTCCTCTCTGTCAGTGTTAAAAAAATCATGTGTTGGGAACGGCACCCTTCTTCGAGCGACCTCGGTGGTTTCTCGAAACTTTCTCTCTCTCTCTCTCTCTCTCTCTCTCTCTCTCTCTCTCTCTCTCTTTTCGTGAATAACTATCGAAGTATCAGATGGAAGATCGATGGT